ATCCAATGGAAATACAATTCAAACAATGTGTTTAAATTTTCTAACAGTTACATTAAAAAAAGCAAAAGTAGAATATGAAGTTAACTTAAATATATGTTTATTTAACCAAATATTATTTATTTATTATTTGTATATATATTTATTTAACCAAATAACTATTATCATTTCAACATGTAACCAGTATAACACTTAAATCATGGTTTGCACACTTTGTTTTCAATCTAAGCTTTTAAAATCTAGTTTGCGTTTTATACTTACATACATCTCAGTTTGGACTAACCACATTTTAAGTGCTCAGTAGTTACATATGGGTAGTGGATAATTTAATGTACATTGCAGATTGGCAACCCACTTCAGTTTTCTTGCCTGGAGAATTCCATAGACAGTAAGCTGGTGGGCTAGAGTCCACAGGGTCACAAAGTGTCAGACACAGCTGAGAGGCTAACACTTTCACTTGCTTATATTTTCTCCCATATCTTGGCTTCCTTTCTCACCCATAATTATACATACATATTTTTAACAATTATTTTGAAAGTTTCAAATCTAAAGAAAAGCTTCAAAACAGTACAAAGAATTCCCTCAGCCCCATTCACCCAAATTCCTCAATTGTTAAATTTTGCTTCGATTTCTTTCCATATATATATATATATCTTTTTTTCTGAAATGATTCCCCATTCCCTCTAAAAGCTCCACTGTTACTCTCCCTGAGATTCTCATAAATCATGCTCAGAACAGCTCTTTCAATTTGAAAATCAGATTGATACACTATTCTTAAATCCACACGCCCTATTCAAATTGGTTGTCCCCACAATGTACCTTTCCTATCTCATACAGGATCTTATCCAGGATTAAATGTTGTATTACATTGTGTTCATCAGTACACCTCAGTCTGAAGTATTTGCTCAGTTTTTCTATGTCCCTCATATCCTTGGTACACATACATTAACTTTGTTTTTGTTAGTCTTCATATGGAATATGTTTTCCAACCTTTTTACTGTTATTTATTTAGCACTTAAAGATACTATTCCATTGTTTCCTAGTTTCTCTTGTTCCTCTTAAGAATTCATCCTCCAGGCTTATTGTTGCTTCTTTAAAAGTAATCTACCTTTTCTCATACCTTGACATGAATCCACTGAAATGTTGTGAAGTAATTAGCCTCCAACTAATAAAAATAAATGAAAAGAAAAATAAATAAATAAATAAAAATAAAATTGTTTATACCCCCCCAAAAAAAGTAATCTACCTTTTCTATCTGCTGCTGCTGCTAAGTTGCTTCAGTCGTGTCCGACTCTGTGCGACCCCATAGACGGCAGCCCACCAGGCTCTGCCGTCCCTGGGATTCTCCAGGCAACACTGGAGTGGGTTTCCATTTCCTTTTCCAATTTGTGAAAGTGAAGTCGTTCAGTCGAGTCTGACTCGTAGCGACCCTGTGGACTGCAGCCCACCAGGCTCCTCTGTCCATGGGATTTTCTAGGCAAGGGTACTGGAGTGGGGTGCCATTGCCTTCTCCGATCTAGCCAATCTCAAATTTTTCTCTATTTTTCATACGTTTCACTATGGTATGACCAAATGAAATTTTCTTTGTATTTATCTGGCTTTAGACTTGCATTTGTTAAATTCTGGTTAAATATTTTTCATCAGTTCTGAAATATTCTCAGCCATTATCTCTTCAACTCTAGCATCTGCCAGATTTTCTTTCTCTCTCTCACTGAAGTTCCTTGTGGAACTTCAAATACATGTGTGTTAGAACTTTTCACTGTTTCTCCTCTGCCTCTGTATTTTCTATCCTTGCCTCCTCAAGCTTCGGTCTGTATACATTCTTCTGATTCATTTTTCATTTTATTAATTTTTTTTTAACTTTTATAATCTTCTGTTTCCCATGCATTCAGTTCTTACTTTTGGTGATGGTACCTTTTATTTCTACAATTTTTATTTGCTTTTTTCTTACTGTTTCTAAAATTCTCCATCTTTTTGTTTAGTTTTTTAAATACAATGATCATTTTTACCGTTTGCTGATTTGATATAATACCATTAAATCCAATATGTTTTAAAATGAGAAAAAAATATATTTAAAGCATTATACAAATGTTGAATTACTTATCCCCATTCAATTAAACCACTTCAACAGAGGAGGTGGTTTCCTAAAATTGTAATTCTTATTAATACAATGGCCTCATACATAGTCAAATGAGGAAAGCAGATAACTAACTCATAGGTCTATAACAGTCTCCATAAGTATCAGGCATCCCTTGATGCTATCATCATAGAAATGTACATGACAGGACCTGCTGAATTCTCTAAAAAGTCTTCATCAAAAGTGGCTACATATAAAATTTTGTCTATTATTCTGTTCCAAGCAGTCACCTGCAAAGTTTCATTTACACATGATCATCATTCAAAAAATCCATCATTTAAAGATTCAATAATTCCTGACAATCTTTAGAGCTACCTGAAATTCTGTTTAACTTCTCAATTTTACCATCACACAATTAGTAATACAGGAAATATAGATAAAATACAGTCTATCTTTGTACTATGTCTGGATTGGCTTTAATGAAAAGTTGATAAATTTGCATCAATCTGGATGTATGTGGACACTCTTTGTGTGTTATATTAGTAACATAAACATAAAGATTGGTGGGGGAAATTTTCTCTTTCCCTAAGTACACTGTAGTCTTTATTGACTTTGTTTTTAGAGTGTAATCTATATTTTTATTTTAGCCTCTTACCTCAGAAGCCAAGAATCTGCTTCATGACCACAAATTTCCTTGCTTTTTTTTTTGCTTCCTATCTTCATGCTACAGTCTTCAGCCTTCTTGTAAAACCTGAAGCCAAGTACAGCTAAAGTTCACTCTTGATACTCCAATTTCTGGATTTCTTTTGGGTTTATGTCTACCTAGGTGTTTTGTTTTGTTTTGTTTTGGTATGAGAGGTTGCTTTATATTGAATGCTGAGCATTTTGCTTAAAAATTATACAAATTATTTGGGGCTCAAATAATGCTATTGTGCAAGATGATTTACTTTTGTTTTAGGTATGCAATAAGGGTAAAAATAGATTATCTTAATGGAGCTGGTGACTAGAGTTGATACAAAACTGAATTTCAGGATTTTTTTTTATTTTTTTGAGAACTGCTCTATTTTTTTTTCATTTATTTTTATTAGTTGAAGGTTAATTACTTTACAATATTGTAGTGGTTTTTGTCATACATTGACATTAATCTATTTACTTTTATAGCTGAGTTGTATCTCTTTAGACTCCTAACTAAAAATCCAGGGTGTTTTCCAGTCTCTCCTCTTCCATGGTCAGCCTAACTTTTGCTCCCCATTTTTAGAGACTGTCTGATCACAGTTCTGCTCAAATTCTCTGCTTCTCAGTGAGATTTTTAATTAGGGAATGTTCGAAGGGAACAACAGCACCAACTGTTGGGTTCACCACTTTGGGCTGCCCTCTCTCCAGAGTCTTGGACCTTTAGATTCTTTTTTCTTTGCTATATCTCTGATATCCTGAAATATGTATGTTTTATATGATATTTCTGTCTCTTCTTAGCTGGAAAATTAGTCTGAAGCAAACCAACCTACCAATGAAGAATATATTATAATTTCAAAGTAGTTTGTGAGAACTGTTTCATGTTACTAATAATGTAAACACTAATTTCCAAAAAACACTGTGGGTACTACAAATATTAATATTCCTAAAGACAGTGAAAATAATCAAATTAATACTATTTCTGTTTACATTTTGTTTACTATCATTGTTACTGCAATTATATTTTGAGTAGAAAGGAGACTTGAAGCAAATTGTTCAACAATGTTGAGACCATATCGTTATTCCAGTTGTTTCTTTTAAGACCTTCTCCTATATTATTGGGCTTTCTGCATTACTTCTTAAAAAAAAACTGTCTTTTTTGTATATATGTGAAATATAATTATTTTTTTCATAGAGATCAGGAAGACATTGGAGTGTTATATAGGACTTAACACAATTCACTGTGCAATTGCACAATGAACTACAGGTATCCAGCCCTCCTGGTCCATTGACCAGGAGCATCACCTCAATAATGTTTAGCAAGGAAAAGGCTTCTGTGCTGTCATTTCCATCATGTCCGACTCTTTGCAACCTCAATGGACTGTAGTCCACCAGGCTCCTCTGTCCATGGGATTCTCTAGGCAAGAATACTGGAGTGGGTTGCCATGCCCTCCTCCAGGGGATCTTCCCAACCCAGGGATTGAAGCCAGGTCTCTTGTGTCTCCTGCATTGGCAGGCAGGGTCTTTACCACTAGTATCACCTGGGAAGCCCAAAAGATTTCTCTAAGTTTCCAAAATATCCTCTAGGACTCAGGATCAATTCTCTTGGAATCCTACATTAGAGCTATAAAATCATGCCTGTACACAGTGCTAACCCTGGTTATGTGTGGATCCCAAGACCATTCTTAGAAGCCAAGGACAGAACATATCAATCACACTGTGCTTTCTGACAACTCTGAAAGTTATCCTAAAATCAAGTGAGAACAAGTTAGGGTTAACATCTAGGACAAAGGTAAGTCATCATACACCCTGATATTTCTTCTTAGGTTAGGGTGGGAGTACTCCTAAACTGGCTAGATACTGTTGCAGTAATAAAAATCTCTATTGTGACCTACCAAGCACTAGGCAATGACCCTCTTTAATCCTGTTTTCTTAACCTTCTCAACAACCCTATAAGAAGGAATTCTTGTTCCTAATTTAGAGATGAGGAACCTGGGACCTAAACATTTAAGTGACTGCCTCCAAATTTAAGCACTTCTTTTATTCCATCGTACTCTTACTGTTTTGTTTCAGGATTCCAGACCTTTTAGAGACTTGAGTCCCTCTTAAGGGTATAAGGGGGTAACTTGATGGGAATGCCTTGAAGAACAGGAAAAATGGGTCTAAAATAGGCCTAACACAGAACTATCTAGGCTCTAGTAGGTTCCCAACTCCCCTCTTCTGGGCATTGCCCAGGAAGCCCACCTCTATAGATCATCACTGCAGAGGCTGTGTTTTTCTACATTCCAGATCCCGGTAGCCTGGATTTCAGGGTATCCTGCACGTAGAGGAGTCCATCCTTCCTCAGTAGTGCATTTCCGATGGCCCAGCTTTCAAAGCTCTTCAGCCTAAAACTTGGATCCAGCAAACCCCCTACCTCCTGCTCAGCTTCAGAGTTCTCACTCCCCTGGGTTCCTGGCCTGGAAGGTGCAGTTCCTGCCCCTAAGCGGGCTCCGCAGGAATCCCCTCTGCTGAGTAGGCTAGCTCAGAGCCACTCCCCTCTGGGAGCTGGGCGGCTGCGGCTGCCCGGCCCCGCCTCTGTTTCTTGGGCAACGCAGTACACAAACTCTGGGCCTGGTGGCGCTCCTGAGATGTGCTTCCTTAAAGCAGGTGAGGAGGGCTGTAGTAGGGGAGTCTACGGGAGAGACAGGAGGAAGAGTAGGAAGGCTGGGAAAGAAGAAGGGCAAAGGGAGGGGGAAATGCAGTTCATCCCTTTACATAGATTTGAGCTACTCTTTACATGGACTTTTCTTAAGGGTCTGCCCTTAAGAGCTCTGTCCCACAGCCCACCCCCTACTCGCCCTGAAGCTCTCACTTAGACCAAAGGGCCTTTCCTCATGTGAAGTTTCTCTTCTTTCTCTATCTGCAGAGCCACTGCTTAACTACTCCTTTGGAACATGTCAACATAGGAAGATCTTTCCTCACTTCCATCCTCCAAACTTTTTGGGAAACAAATTCCCCCCTATTAGAGGAGCTCCCAACAGAGGGCCTGGATGTTACATAGCAGAAGATGTGAGTATTCACCTTCCCTTCGATGGGTGTCAGTTCCCAGACTATTATCTAAGGAAACCCAAGTTTTCCCAAAGAAAAGCCCTATGGGATTTGTGACCATCAGGGTCCCAACATGAGAAAGTGCCCTGGTCCTCTACAATCAGAAAGTAAAGGGCCACTGTTCCCCGTTGCCATCCCCACCAAATGCAAGCCTTGGCCTCATGCAGTTCCCAGTATTGTTCCTTCACTATTCACAGTCACAAAGACCAGTGACTCAGTATCTCCTTAGTCCAAACCTGGACTGTGGCTGTGCTGATAGGTATTTTATGAAACTGTATAATCATACTGATAGTTGAATTAGAGCAGATTCAGCTCTGTGGGACCCAGAAAACTGGATTCACTGGAATGCATAGAAATGGCATTCACTCTACCTATCTAGCCACATTCCTTTATAGGAATGCAACCGTTTGTGTTACTTATGTAATTGTATGGTCATGATTCAGAAGAATCAAGAAAGAAAGAGTAACTTTGGCAGAGAAGATTCAGAAATACTTTAAGTTCAGACTGTTTCAATAACTATAATGTTCTCTATATGTGTTTTTTCTTTGTTTGTTTTCTACATAACACCTGAAGAAGTATGGCTTTGCATACAACCTCTCTAAGATCCCGACCAGTAAAAAAGGATACACTCTTGGCGCCAGAACAGCCATGAGATTTAAGCCAGTTAGCAAGGTTAGACATGGCTGAATGTGCTTAGATTTCACTGTGATCTATGTTGCTGAATGTACTTGCATTGGGGAGCATAGCTGGAGGCTACCTAAAGAATATGCCCAAAATTCAAGACAAAAATGTTTTTTGGGCAAAAGCTACTAAAAAACCTATCTTAAAAGCATGGATGTTAACATGGCAAATGTGTGTGTGTGTCCTGGCAGAGTGGAAAATAGCTCTAAGAAGAAATAATAACCAAAGCAAGGTTTTAGTCCTGAGACACTTGCTTGTAAAATACTAGAAGCTTTGTTTATATGCATCATATAATTATTTGTAATATGTAGTATAATATCTTATCAGTTAAAAAAACAATTCCAACTTCTTCATTCTTTTGTATAACTGGATTTATAGTCTTAATTATCATCTATTAATCTCCTGTTGGACTTTTTCATGACACTTAAGCTCAGGGAGAGGGATACTGGCTCCAAAAGAATCTGAGTGGGATGGTGGGATGGTGGGGGTAGTGACTGTAATAGGTTACTATGTCTCTCTACCTATCTCCTGTTGGACTTTTTCATGACACTTAAGCTCAGGGAGAGGGATACTGGCTCCAAAAGAATCTGAGTGGGATGGTGGGATGGTGGGGGTAGTAACTGTAATAGGTTACTATGGCTCTCTACCTTCATAGGTTTGTTTCTACAGCCTAAGCATTTGGTACCTTTACGTAGCTGAACCATACACTTATCTTGGTTTTCTACCTACTGTAGGCCATTTCTATAAATTGAGGTAGTTAAACCATAGCTGATACATGAACAGGGAGAGGATAATTTTGTTTTTTCTAATTAAAAGTCTTTACATGTATATATCACCCTCTAACATATTGATCTTTTTCTTGGAAACAGGATGTGACACCTTACCCAGGCATGTACCAGACAGTCAATGTTCGAGAGCAAACACACAAACCAAATTTTGCTCCATTTAATGTCTTGTTGCCTCGCTTTCAGACTTACTCAAAGGACTCTTATTATCCTGGGTATGTGCCCCTTTTTCTGCTGCACTTCAACAAAGAGCAATAGGAAAGGAAGTACAGAAAGGGGTTTCATCCCAAGCATGCTGTCTAAATAAGAAACCATCTAGCTTTAAAGATTCAACCTTTTGCCTTCTAGGTCTCTAGAAATTATAGAGTGGTAGAGTGTAGGGGTTCACTCAATAAATATTTATAAAAGGCCAAGCAGTTTTGTGGGTTCCAAAGATTTTGCTTTAAACCCATCATGCAAGATTCCTCATTTCTTGGAGCTTACATTCTAGAGTCCAGACAGATGAGAAAAAAATAAGAAAATATCAATAGTAATAAAGAGAGTGACTATATAATTTATTAATCAGCACATGACACTTCTGAGACTTGAAATGGGGTCTTATTAATAATTATACCAAGACAGTAGCCATTAGCTGGGGCTGTCATAGACACACTAGGAAGTAAGGTGACCTGGTGGTGTGCTGAATGAAACCAAAGAAGATGATGATATGATACAGAGTGGTGGGCTAGAATCTATATACTTTAGCAAGGATTGTCGAGATAGATCTTTTAGGGAAATGACACTTGATCTGAAACCATTATGACAAGAATGAGCTGGCCCTGTGAAAATGTAGGCCCAGAGTTTCCCAGGCAGAAGGAACTTCAAGTACAAAGGCTATTGTTGGGAAGGAAATTGTTGTGCAGAAAAAAAAAAAAAAAGAAGGCTAGTGTGGCTACAGTACTGTGGGCAAGGAGGAAGTGAGAATGGGGTGGGGAAGGTGGAGGTGTTGGTGGCTATAGTACATAAGCCAGTAGACCAAGGGAGGCGGTCTCAGTGCTTTAGGAAGCTGTTGAGAATGTGTGGAATGGTAGGGCATGGGGTCAAGGTCTTTTTTTACTTTTGAGAATTTCAAAGATCAGAGAGTGAGTGTAACTTTTTCAAGGTTGTAGTAAGGAATAGAGATGTTGAATCTTGATTCTTATGTCCACTTTACATGTTATTTCCATAGCAAAGAGTTGATAAAAGAATGTTATGAACAAAGGCTATATAATTAAATAATCCCATTGTCAAGGAATTTTACATGGTTCTACTTTACTGACCCCAGATTGTTGATACTTTAAATTAGCACTTTTCTTTCCTCCTTAGTTTTACATCATGAGCAGTACTTACGCATCACTGTGTTAACTTTCGTTTATCACCCACCATTTCTGGGATCTTTTGATCTCTCAGATAAGGAGAACTTATATTTCTGAACTTCCAGAAATATTTTAAACTGGAGTTGATATTTTACTTTGTCAAGACTAGATACCTTGAACACTGAAACTTAATTAGAAATATTTTAGCAGGCAAAGGAATCCTATGTGAATCAGTAGACTGCCTTTTCCCAAAGGGTTAGGACTCTAGATCAGGGGTGGAAGGTTACATACGATTGCTAACTCATTACAGATGATGTTCTGTATTTTTATTTCTAGCCCTACCACATACAACCCAGAGATAAAGCCACCCAAGAGAGTCAGATGGCCAATGAAATTTGGATCTCCAGACTGGGCTCAGGTTCCATGTCTACAGAAAAGAACTCTGAGAGCTGAGGTAATAGGATTGGACTTCTCTGGAGTCCTTTACCTAATACTTCCATGTGTATCAGTGATTCTTAACCAGGAGTCTGTGAACAAGCTTCAGTTAAGTCCTTGTTCCCCTGAAATTACAAGTACAATTTTGTGTATATACATATGGGATTTTTTTTGGAGAGTTACCCAATTTCACTAGATTTTTAAAGGTGAGTGTGATGGAACAGAAGTCACATTTTATTTAGTCCTCAAATAATCTTCTGTGGTTAGTCCAAAATAATTATCCTCTGTGATTGAGGAGGAAACTGAGGCTCAGATGGATTAAGTGGCTTGTTGAAGTTGCTCAGATAGAGCCTAGATCTGGTGACTCCTAAGCCATGGCTCTTCCCATCACACCACTTACTGTTAGATCATCAGGAGCTGTGGATCATTCTGCCAAGAACATGGATTTTAGGAACAGACTGCCTGGGTTCAAATTCTAGTTCCATATTTGCTTGCTGTGTGATTTTGTCTAATAATCTTACTTTTCTAAGCATCAGTGTGCTTAGTTTTAACATGCATATAATAATAGACTCTTATCTGATAAAGCTGTAAAAATTGAGCTATTGTAGAAAAGTATTGGTGCCATACTCGTAGCATAATAAATGCTCAGTCCATGTTCGCTATCATAATTCCAGAGGTGCCCTTTATTCTCCAGTGGGGCTTGGGATTAATTCTGCAAGTATGTATGAAATGCCAAATGTATTAACATCATTATGCTAGGGCCTATGGGTAATATTCAAGAATTAAACATATAATTTTTCTTTTCAAGATGTTTACCAGCTATACTTTTAAAATAATTAATTATTTATTTACTTTTCACTGCACTAGATTTTCGTTGCTGCGCATGGGCAGGCTTTCTTTAGTTGTGGCAAGCAGGTGCCAGTAGACCAAGGGAGGCGGTCTCAGTGCTTTAGGAAGCTGTTGAGAATGTGTGGAATGGTAGGGCATGGGGTCAAGGTCTTTTTTTACTTTTGAGAATTTCAAAGATCAGAGAGTGAGTGTAACTTTTTCAAGGTTGTAGTAAGGAATAGAGATGTTGAATCTTGATTCTTATGTCCACTTTACATGTTATTTCCATAGCAAAGAGTTGATAAAAGAATGTTATGAACAAAGGCTATATAATTAAATAATCCCATTGTCAAGGAATTTTACATGGTTCTACTTTACTGACCCCAGATTGTTGATACTTTAAATTAGCACTTTTCTTTCCTCCTTAGTTTTACATCATGAGCAGTACTTACGCATCACTGTGTTAACTTTCGTTTATCACCCACCATTTCTGGGATCTTTTGATCTCTCAGATAAGGAGAACTTATATTTCTGAACTTCCAGAAATATTTTAAACTGGAGTTGATATTTTACTTTGTCAAGACTAGATACCTTGAACACTGAAACTTAATTAGAAATATTTTAGCAGGCAAAGGAATCCTATGTGAATCAGTAGACTGCCTTTTCCCAAAGGGTTAGGACTCTAGATCAGGGGTGGAAGGTTACATACGATTGCTAACTCATTACAGATGATGTTCTGTATTTTTATTTCTAGCCCTACCACATACAACCCAGAGATAAAGCCACCCAAGAGAGTCAGATGGCCAATGAAATTTGGATCTCCAGACTGGGCTCAGGTTCCATGTCTACAGAAAAAAACCCTGAGAGCTGAGGTAATAGGATTGGACTTCTCTGGAGTCCTTTACCTAATACTTCCATGTGTATCAGTGATTCTTAACCAGGAGTCTGTGAACAAGCTTCAGTTAAGTCCTTGTTCCCCTGAAATTACAAGTACAATTTTGTGTATATACATATGGGATTTTTTTTGGAGAGTTACCCAATTTCACTAGATTTTTAAAGGTGAGTGTGATGGAACAGAAGTCACATTTTATTTAGTCCTCAAATAATCTTCTGTGGTTAGTCCAAAATAATTATCCTCTGTGATTGAGGAGGAAACTGAGGCTCAGATGGATTAAGTGGCTTGTTGAAGTTGCTCAGATAGAGCCTAGATCTGGTGACTCCTAAGCCATGGCTCTTCCCATCACACCACTTACTGTTAGATCATCAGGAGCTGTGGATCATTCTGCCAAGAACATGGATTTTAGGAACAGACTGCCTGGGTTCAAATTCTAGTTCCATATTTGCTTGCTGTGTGATTTTGTCTAATAATCTTACTTTTCTAAGCATCAGTGTGCTTAGTTTTAACATGCATATAATAATAGACTCTTATCTGATAAAGCTGTAAAAATTGAGCTATTGTAGAAAAGTATTGGTGCCATACTCGTAGCATAATAAATGCTCAGTCCATGTTCGCTATCATAATTCCAGAGGTGCCCTTTATTCTCCAGTGGGGCTTGGGATTAATTCTGCAAGTATGTATGAAATGCCAAATGTATTAACATCATTATGCTAGGGCCTATGGGTAATATTCAAGAATTAAACATATAATTTTTCTTTTCAAGATGTTTACCAGCTATACTTTTAAAATAATTAATTATTTATTTACTTTTCACTGCACTAGATTTTCGTTGCTGCGCATGGGCAGGCTTTCTTTAGTTGTGGCAAGCAGGGGTTACTCTTCTTGCAGTGCTCTAGCTTCTTAATGCAATGGCTTCTCTCGTTGCAGAGCACAAACTCTAGACACGCAGGCTACAGAAGTTGCAGCACATGGGCTCAGTAGTCGTGACTTGTGGGCTGTAGGGTGTGGGCTCAATAGTCATGGTGCACGGGCTTAGATGCTCATGTCATGTAGAATCTCGCTAGACTAGGGATGGAACCCATGTCCCTTGCCTTGGCAGATGGATTCTTATCCACTCTACTACCAGGGAAGTCCTACCAGCTATACTTGACAATTTACCAAGTAGAAAATAATTCCTAGTATGACATTTCCAGACTAAGATGACAAAGAGTAGATGTACAGAGCAATGCTGAGAGACTCAGTGAGGCTAGGTTACTATGGGGTTGAGGTTCAGCCAGGCCACAACAGGTATAACATACATGCCTATTTCTCACAGCCAGGAAGCCCAGAGGCAGTGGGTTCTCATTTGAATATTGACCTAGATAATATTCTTTCATTGCAGCTGCCCACAGACAAAGACTTTAGAAAGCATCGGAACCGTCTGGCCTACCTAAGCCTGTACTATGACTGAGAAGCTGCGACTCCCTTCACGTGCTCCTCCTGACCACGAATTCTCCAGGACAGAACAATGCAGAGCACAGAGGTGCTCTTGTCCTTCTGCATTGCTCTGACCTTCCTGCCTGCCGGCATGGGGCACAGGGAGGGGCAAGGGCCTCATAAATACTACATGACTGTGTCAAGACTAGTTTAGAATGCTCTTTCTCCTTGTGCTGGTTCATTGTGTATTCATGTAGAAGGGTTAGAGGAGTTCCTACTGAGTGCTCAGCGGGATGGCTTCACTCGACTGAAATATTATACTTGTGGGTCCTCGCCCTCTAATTCCCAGCCCCAAGTTTTATGTTTTCTACCACTAGCCCAGGGCTTCCCTGGTGGCACATCAGTGAAGAATCTGCTTGTGATGCAGGAGTTATGGGTTCAGTCCCTGAGTTGGGAGATCCTCTCCTCTGGAGAAGGAAATGGCAACCCACTCTAGTATTCTTGCCTGGGAAATCCCCTGGAAAGTGGAGCCTGACATGCTACAGTCCATGGGGTTGCAAGAGTTGGACACTTAGCAACTAAACTACCACACCACTAGCCCTGGTGAGAGGAGACTATTTATTGTTCTGTACATGTCAAGGCTTTGGATGGCTTGCTGGGTCTTGTTTTGGGGCTTTTTGGATGCAGAGGACACTTAAAGGCAGAGTAAATGTTTTAGGAGTGCTTCAAAGTGTCCAAGTTTCCCAGCATGGAGTGGGAAGGTCCTGATTTGATTGCCTTTCTCTGTGCTGTGCTGAGTCAAGTCCAACCCTTTGTGACTCTGTGGACTATAGCCAGCCAGGCTTCTCTGTCCATGGGATTTTCCAGGCAAGAATACTGGAGTGGATTGTTGATTTGATTGCCTTTCTCAGGTCCTGATGCTGGGAAAGATTAAGGGCAGGAGGAGAAAGGGATGACAGAGGATGAGATGGTTGGATGGCATCACCGACTCGATGGACATGGGTTTGGGTGGGCTCCGGGAATTGGTGATGGACAGGGAGGCCTGGTGTGCTGCAGTTCATGGGGTCACAAAGAGTCAGACACGACTGAGCGACTGAACTGAACTGAACTCAGGTTCACATAAAACTCAAAGAACCAATAATCCACCCTCCTTTCCTATTACATCGTCTATTTAGTCTGTTAGTCATCATCATACTGAATTCCAAACATGCATCAGGCAGAGTGGCAAGCACTGGGGATGCAGTAGGAATCAGAATAGACTCATCTACTGGCTCCATGGCCCTGGACTGAAATATGAGAAGGACTTCCCAAGGAGGCTAGTAGATTGGATCTGCCCCCAACTTCCAGTTTGAATGATGCCCTAAAGCCTCACAAGTTGCTCTAGGTGTGCTAAGGTCAGAAGTCATGAGAGCCACGTTCAAAGTACTTTTCGAGACGTTGCCTGGTGTGTGTTCATTTGCTCAGTTGTGCTCCCACTCTTTGTGGTCTCATGGACTGTAGCCCACGGGGATCCTCTGTCCATGGAATTTTCCAGGCAAGAATACTGGAATGGGTTGCCATTTCCTTCTCCAGGTGACCTTCCCCATCCAGGGATCGAAACTGCATCTCCTATGTTGGCAGGTGGATTCTTTACCACTGAGCCACCTGGGAAGCCCAGACATGGCCTGGAAGACAGGCCTTTTATTTCCAACACAAACCTTAATAACTCAAGTGTGGTTTCTTCAGAATGGACATTAAGTGTATTCTAGCTGCTTGTGTTGGGAAGGTCCTTCTATGCCTACTTAGCCTTCTTATTTATTCATTTATTTGGCTGTGTTGGGTCCTAGTTGTGGCACAGAGAGTCTTCATAGTGTCATGCAGGATCTTTCTTGGCGGTGCATGGACTCTCTAATTGTGGCGTGTGGGCTCAGTAGTTGCAGCGTGTGGGCTCCAGAGAATGTAGGCTTCAGTAGTTGTGGAACTTGGCCTCTCTAGTTGTGGCACATGGCCTCCAGAGTATGCAGGCTCAATAGTTGCAGCACACAGGCTTAATTACTCACAGCATGTTACTCACAGGATAACATGTGAGTTACTCACATGGATGTTAGTTCCTCTCCCAGGGATCAACCTGTGTGCCCTGCATTGCAAGGTGGATTCTTAACCACCAGACTACCAGGGTAGTCCCCTACTTAACCTGATGGCAAGACTTCATATGTCTGGATAACAAATAGTGAGATGCTGCTAGTGCCTCAAAAAACTATAGCCTGCTGTACTCTTCAAGGCCATCCCATGGTGAGTGTTAGCTGGGGAACGAGGCACTGGAAGGTGAAATCTACTAAATTATGCCTCTGAGAGGCCTAATTCTTTAGGGGACAAGATCCTCTGAAGAAAATAGTGAAAGTTCACTGGAAATCAACTTAAAATATTAAGATAATGCTAGATACCTCAGTCTAAAAACATTTACTCCATTTAATCTGATGATTTAAAGATTTTTATTATCATGTTAAAAGCATTTTTATGACTTGAAATTAGTCAAGATTAACCTTTCTCACCTCTCTCACACACATCCCTTTCTTTTCTCCTTTGGAACCATACACATGCAGCTTTTTTCAGAGGTGGTAATTTAACATTTATTGTTTTTCTGACACAGGGTCTTGGGCCCCTTCTTTGGAGGTGTTGACAAGAGTGAGAGAACTTTTTCACACCGTTGTTTGATTCACACTCTCGAGGCTTTTGCCAGGGAAGGAAAGTCCCCTTTCTAAAACAGTAGTCTGATTTGATAAAAAGTAAAATTTTAGCTTCAGTAAAAATAGCTTCTATTAACCTTCAGGGTCACTTGAAATGCTGAGCTATATATACAAGTACGTAAGAAAAAATACAGACGATTATAAAAAAATAAAACATGCAGCGTCATATATATTTTACATATGGATTTGGTTCAAGGTGTTTATAGTTTTTTTAGGTTATAATGGAGTAAAACCTAATCATAATGCTATTTTAGTAAGGTAGGGCTTCAAAATTGACAGATAGACTGATATAATATGTAGACAACATGGAGTATTGGAAGATGGAATTTGACATGCAGCACGAGAAAATCTGAAACTACAAAGTAGAGTTTTCCCAACATTTTAAATTGAAGGCCAGTTACAACATGAGCAGGTTTGGTCAAACACCAGGCCTTGGTTACACTGGAAGTAGAAGGTCCTGCCTCCTGCACACTGGTAGAACTTGGTGTTATCTTCAGGATCACTATAAATGCCATCTGCTTTACCAGTGCAGAAACCTTCATCTCCTTCACTGCCACCTTCTCCACCACTTTCTCCATCACCACCTCCTTCTCCACCACTGCCACTGTCTCCACCAATATTGGCACAGAAACCTTCACTTCTGGGTATCACTTGTTGATGATACCAAGTCTTGGTGGCTGATGGAGTGCATTCTAAAAGAACAAGAAGATCACTTCAGAGCATCATCATAAGCTATCTTTGAGCCTAGAAAAACAACTCTAGACCTCCACCTATATTGGCTTTGTTCTCCGAGAACTTGAGCCCCATGAGAGTTCCAAACTGTGGCTGGGAGCAATGTTACAAGGGGACAGACGTCCAAGCTGGGAGGAAGGGAGGACAGGGCCACTGGAGTCCTAGCAGTAATCCAAGCAGTCCTTGGCTTCTACTCTGTTTCCCAGGGGGAATGAACACAGCCCTACAGTGACTGGATCAAGGATTTTATGTGGGAGGCTAATTAACACTTGTGTTAGCAGGGAAGGCTTATCTGTCCATTTTTCTGTCATAAGTAATACATCTGCATTTTTGTCATCTTGTTAACCTTAAGTGCTATATTTTTATTTTTGTCATCTTGTTATGTTTTGTTTCTTAGGCTTTATTTTTTGCTTGTTTCCTTTCAACATTACCCTTTTGCTGTTTTTTTTTTTTTTCATCCCTCTGGAAATTCAGACATTTTATTTTTCATTTTACTCTATTGCTAGAACACTCTGCACAACTACAATTTGCTGCCTCTTATTCCCTCACTCTATAATTTGAGCCCATCTTTTTTAAAAATTAATTTTATTTGTTTCTTTAGGCTGCACTGAGTCTTTGTTGTTGTGTGTGGGTTTCCTCTAGTTGTGGCGAGCGGGGCTACTCTCTAGTTATGGGGCTCTGTCTTCTCATTGCAGCATGCTTCTCTTGTTGTAGGGTACAGGTTGTAGAGTGTGTGGGTTTCAGTAGTTGTGGCACATGGGATTAGTTGCCCTGCAGCATGTGGGATCTTCCCAGACCAGGGATTAAACCTGAGTTCCCTGGATTGGCAGGCAGATTCTTAACCACTGGACCACCAGGGAAGTCCTGAGCCCATCTTTTTGTAATTATCTTTTAACAGGTTTTACAGTTAAAACAAACAAACAAACAATGATTCTGTGAATTTCCTGAAAGCAGAGACATAGGGAACCCTATATTTTCTACTTCTTTACCTCTACATCCACCTTTAGGCTTCCTCCAAAGATGCTTAACCAAGGAATATACAAAGTCACACACTACTGAGTCAGCAATGTGAGTCTTTACCCCTGTTCTTCTTCAAGACCTACCTCCAACCCTCACCACTAGCAGCCAAAGACAATATCCACCTTTAAGGCAGGTGGGAAGTGGCTAAGCCAGCCTGCCTATTTCTAAGTTAGGCTATGGTGTACAGAACTGAGAGAGATGCAGTTTACTTTAGAGCAAATGTTAGCACATGCATCAGACTCACTTTGAAGGTATCTGATTCTTCCTCCCAGACAAAGTTTTCCTGGGAAGAAAAGCCCATCTCTGAGGTATAGGTATATTCAAATCCTTACCCACATAGCTGCTGAACTTAGACTGGCCTCTTTGATTGAAGAATGCATTTCTAAGAAGCTTCTTCCTGTAAACCTGTCCCTTTCTCACATGTGAGGGTCTAGATGCTCTGTGGCTGCCTCATGCACCCTTCTCCCTCTGCAGTTGCATTCTTGCAGCTTGACCTGCATCATCTTTGGAACAATGTGGTGAACTCAGTAGTGACCCACCTGAGGACAGGCCCAAGAGTGACTGCAGCTTGCGTATGAGTGGATATTTGCCCTCATTGCAGAAGGAGCCTAAGAAGTCATCCAGGTCAATGGCCCAAACCATGGCCCCACCAAAATTGTTCTCCTTAAGAAAGTCAACCTGTGGACAAAGAGAGCACTTGGCAACCGAAATCAAATGGCATCTACACAACAAACAGTGGAGTACAGGGCGACAAGTTGATATTAGGGAGAAAAATGCAAGTGGGTTGAAACCCTGTCGATATTTCTTTTATGGAAGGATGTGATATGCACTTTGTGAATTCAAGGTGTGATGGGCTATCTCAACTCCATTCTTGTTTTCTTCCTCCAGTTAATAAATTCTTGTTGCTGCTGCACTTCAGTTGTGTCCGACTCTGTGCGACCCCATAGATGGCACCCCACCAGGCTCCCCCGTCCCTGGGATTCTCCAGGCAAGAACACTGGAGTGGGTTGCCGTTTCCTTCTCCAGGTTCCAACTGTGAGTTTTTCTTAATTACTTTTAGAAGCTTTGAAGGAATCCTGGTCTTAAAAATCTTCATGGTAGAAGATTATGTTACTGAAAGAAGCCTTAATTTGTGTGAACCTTAGGGTAAATCTAGATTAATATTCATTGAACATTATTATGTGCCAGGCAGCTTGGGAGGTGTTTTCACATTTATTTTTTTTTTTGGTGTGCATTTTGTGGTGCTCAGATGAGGCTGCACAGAGCTTAACAGGTCGGTTTCCTGACCAGATTTCCTGGATTTGAATCCTAGCTCCAGCAGTTACTGTTGAGTTGGCCCTTGGCAAGGGTCTCAGGCTCTCCTCTCTGTGTCTCAGTTTCTCTACCTATGAAGGAAAATAGTGCCTGTTCTGAGAATTAAGTTAAATGATAGCATTATAATTGTTATGGTGACACAATGTGTCCTAGCTCTTGCTTTGCTTTTGCCATTTAATAATTAATTTTTTGCCAGTTACAAATTTTTCTTTATAAAGGTTTTTTGAACGTTTTGTCACTGAAAGCAGCCTAATATACTCCTTCTACTCACTGTGATTATTTAAATAACAACTAGTATGCTCTATTTCCTTTGAAAATTAAAAATAAAATGCAATGAGTGAAATTGTAGTTGCATATACAAGAAATTTACCAAGTTTTATAAAAGCATATATGGGAAAATTTTCTATATTGCTAGAGAAAGTCATTTTGATATCATGTAATGGTATGGTATCATGTATGGTTCACTGAAGAAGCAAATGGCAACCTGCTCCAGTGTTCTTGTCTGGAAAATTCCATGGACAGAGGAGCCTGGCAGGTTACAGTCCATGGGGTTACAGAGTCAGATATGACTGAATACCCAGTGTTATGGTGGTTGCACATTCATTATTCAGTTGAGTTTTTATCAGTTTAAGCAGAAAACACATTTCTTTTAAAGCTGCAAAGTGGCATGCCAATGACTATTCAGTGTTGTCAATCAGNAGTCACTTAGTCGTGTCTGACTCTTTGCAACCTCATGGCCTGCAGCATGCCAGGCTCCTCTGTCCTCCACTATCTCCTGGAGTCTGCTCAAATTCATATCCATTTAGTCAGTGAGGCTATCTAACCATCACATCCTCTCCAGTCCTCTTCTCATTCTGTCTTCAATCTTACCCATCATCAAGGTCTTTTCTAATAAGTCGGCTCTTCACATCAGGTGGCCCAAGTATTAGAGCTTCAGATTTGACTAAATGCAATCAAATCAGATTTGAAAGAAGATCCAATTATTTGCCATCACTGAGCTAAATTATTGAAATCCTTCTCCATCTATTTACATGGATGTAATAGAATTGAGTATAGCTTTGAGCTATAGAAAAGATGGTCCCATATACTTCTAAACCCAAAAGGAAATTCACATTGGTTTTTTTTTTTCAAGTGAAAAGTGTTCCTCAGCCATCAACCTGCCTTTCCACAGGCTATATGCTCAGAGCTATGAGGAGCCAGGGTATAGGATCTCAAGAACATAAGGATAGCAAGATGACTTGGAGAGTGGAAGAATTTTCCCCAGGACATTTTAGCCTGAATTAGCCATGGTGGTTACCTCATAGTAAGCCCAGAAGCCAGCCTCACTTGTGTAAGGACCAGATGACCCTGCTCCAGAGACTGGGGCACAGACTGAGGTGTCAGAAGTGCTGAGCCGGAAGGTCCTCCCATAGGTGGGGAAACCCATGATGAGCTTCTCTGAAGGAACCCCATTGTCTCTCCAGTACTTCATGGCATATTCCTGCAGAAGCAACACAGACATTTTTCCTCACCAGTGTTTGTCCCACATGATGAAAAAAGTCTAGCTAATTGTCCCACAAAGAGAAAGACTATTTTCCAACAACCAACACTCCTAATCTCTTCCCTGTCTTTCTTCTGCATATGATTAGAGGTTTTTCTTTCTTACACAGTTGAAGTAACGCATGTTTCCTTGATCCTTGGATCCTAAGTGCAGAGGACTGTTGTGTCCTGTGCATGAGTCCCAGCCACCATGGAAGTCATAGGTCATCACGCTTATGAAATCAAGAAGCCTAGAACAAGAGAATTTGAGCCATCATGATACGGGAGCACTTTTTAATAGACAATTTAAGAGCAAGAAATGATAGCAGTGGAAACTCATGATGTCAAGTAGATATCCATATGATCCCATTAGTGTGGCTTCCCAGGTGTCTCCTGGTTATCTCCTGTGACTCCCGTGAGGCTAGACAGAAAGTCTCCTTTACTTCCTTGAAAGATTATGGGCAAACCCAGAGCAGAAGATAAGGAAATATAGTTGTTAGTGTATGTGTCTCAGAAACACATGTCTCTAGGATTATGGGAACTGCAGGTGGAAAGCTCACCTATTGTTTTGTCAATAATAGCTTTCTTGATTTTACAGCTTTTCAAAAGAAACTGTTAGTGAAAATTGCTGCTATATATAAAGATTTTCCAAGGTCTTAAATTTTATTTCTCTTTCCCCTAAAGCCTACCATAGTGACAATATAAAGGGGTCAACACCTTTTCCCAGAACCACTAAATATTCAAACATTTTTGGCAATTGATGGTACCAACCTTCTCAACATTATGTTTACATAACTACTGGGAATGCTTTCTACTAAAATGTTTAGCGAATCTCTGTTCTGGGATGTGGAGGCCCTGGGAGGCTCATCGCACTCACTTTCCGATCTCTGCAATTTCATATCCTTCATCAACGGTCTCTTTGCCAGCAGACACAGCTGCTGTGATCAGCAGTCTGGGTTTTCCTGTTTCTTCAGCCTCTTCTTCAAAAGCCTGTAGCATTTCCTGGAGAGAGAAAAGAGGGTGGATTTTAGTGGTTGTCTTCATTATCTATTCCCTATGGTGACTACCTCTTGAGATGGTTTCCAGCCCATAACAATTCCCTATTTCTTAAAATAGCTCCTGAAATTTAGGGATAGAGTCTGGTAAGGTATAACTTGGAATAAATTGATGCAAACATGGAGTCCTTGAATCTAAGTCTCATTTAATGACAATTCTACAGAAAAAGCCCAGGAATTCCCGGCAGAGGATCTAGGAGCTGTCCTCTCTATTGTGACTTCATCATCCCTCTTAAAGCTCTATTCTCTGCATTTGTGTATAGCCAGGCTAATGTCTTTCCTGCCTCTAGGCCTTTGCAAATGCTGTTTGTTACCACATCCTTAGAAAATTCTACCCATCCTTTGTATTCCTGGTTCCTTTTACTTCATATTGCTGCTCAAATGTCACTTCCCTGAGAAGACTCCCCTGAGCATCTAATTTTGCTGCTATCATTGCTCTTACCACGATTGACATTTATTTGTTTATTTAGCTCCATATTCTCCACTATGCTGTAATCCCAAGAGCAGGAATCACATTTATCTTGCTCACTGCTCCGTATCCAGTGGTCTCGATCACAGAAAGCACACAACACTTGTTGAATGAATGACATAGTGAAATTCCTTCTTCCTGATTCAAAACTTTATTTGAAAAGAAGATTCAAGATGAAAGTATAGAAAGACTCTCAACTGATCCCTTTTATGGGCATAGCAAATCTACAACTATATATTAAAAAAAAAAATCCCCTGAAAAGGACCTGAAAACCAGATGAATAGTGTTCTCAACAAAGGGTAAAAAGACAGCATTGAGATGGGTAGAAGAAACAGATATTCAGTCACTCCAAGGAAAAGCCACACTCCAGCCACAGTGGTCCACAGTTGAGAAGTGTAAGAAAGGTACAGTTACCTGAAATTAACATGACATTGTGAATCAACCATACTTCAATAAATCTTTTTTAAAAAACAAAGATAGTTATTTTCCCTAAGGAATGAAAGTTTCAAGTTCCACATCATGCAAACCATCCCAAAGCTGCTTCTCAGGAGATAAAAGCACCCCCCTCCCCCCCAATAAAAGAAAAAAATAAATAAACTAGTTTGAAGACCAATATGAAATACTCCCAGGAAAACTATAGAACTACAGGGGAAAGAAAGCTCATTTTTTAAAGGGTCCAGTTTCACTTGATCAAAAACCTGTATAAAATCACCAGATTAAAAAGTACGTGGAAGATAGATGAAAGAGCCCCACTCACTAATCCTGAAGCAGCTGCTAGAGAGTAAGGAACAGTGGGATGATCCCTAGGAACTGAGACCCTAGTAGGAGCCATTTTTGCCATCTCAGGCCACCTTACTAATAATGGCACTGGTGGCATCATATTGGAAAGCTCCATCTAACCTGTGGGTGCACATGGCCAAGAGTCCTGCCTACCCCTGTGCCTCAGCAGCGCCTCACAGTTAGCCAGGAAATAACCTTGCTGGGCACTGGTGGGTAGGGGCCCACTGCAGTTATGAGGTGCAGACCTACCTCCCAGCACCTGGCATCCACTGAAAACAGACCGTGCAGCCATTAGCGGGGCAGCCCTGCCCACAAGCCCACAGAAGCCACCATGGATGAGTCTCACAGCCATTTGGGGGCCAGCTCAACCACTAGTTACTGGCAGCCCACCATGGCATTCCAAGATCTACCGCTGACCACCAGCATTCAGCAGCCACTGTGGTGAGACCCCAGAGGCATTCTGCAGGGCCAGCTTTGCGTACCGGTGTGCTGTCACCGGAGCTGTGACCCCACCAAAACAGGAGAACATTCACAGCCCATATGGGGCACTTGGCTTGTGCACATTGCTCTGGTGGCCAGGTGGGATAGTATGCCTGAACCCCACAGGGTATCTCCCACGTAAAGCCACTCATCGAGACTGGGAGACGTGGCTGCTTTACCTAATGCATCAAAGCAAACACAGAGAATTAGGACAAAATGAGGAGACGTGTTCCAGTCAAGAGAAGAAGACAAAATCTCAGAAAAAGAATGAAATAAATGGAGACAACCAATCTACCTGAGAAATGAACATAAAGATACTGAACTTAGGAGAAGAAGGGAAGAACACAATGACAACATCAACAAATAGCTAGAAAATATTAAAAAAAAAACTAAACTAAACAGAAGTTATAACTGAACTGCAAAATACCCTATAGGTGTTCAACAACAGATTGGAAGAGGTAGAAAAATCAGTGAGCCAAAAGACAAAGTAATGGAACTCACTCACACAGAGCAGCAGTTTGAAAAAAGAATTTTAAAAAGTGAAGATACTTTTAAGGAATCTGGTACAATATCAAGTAGAACAGCATTACCATTATACAGTCCCAGAAGTAGAAGAGAAAAGGGACATAAAATTATTTAAAGAAATAGCAGCTAAAGACTTCCTAATCTGGGGAAGGAAATAGACATCCAGGTCCAAGATACTTAGAGATTTCAAAATAAAATGAACCCAAAGAAACATGCCCCAAGACACATTGTAATACAAATGGTAAAATTTAATGAAAAAGAATCTTCTGCTTTAAGGAAAGCAGAAAGGGAAAAATAATTTGTTACTTAAAAGTGAAATCCCATAAGGCTATCATTAGATTTTTCTGCAGAAACCTTACGGGCCAGTAGGAAGAGGCATATTCTTACATATTCTTAGGTTACAAAGAAAGAAAGGGGATGAAAACTAAGTCCTGGGAGGAGGGTTTCTTTTCCTATATATGAGATGGCAGGGCTTCCCAGGTGGAGCTAGTGTTAAAAAAAATCCACCTGCCAATGGAGGAGACACAAGAGACATTAGTTCAATCTCTGGGTCAGGAAGATCCCCTGGAGAATGAAATAGTAACCCACTCCAGTATTCTTGCCTGGAGAATCCCATGGACAGAGGAGCCTGGCAAGAAGCAGTCCATAGGGTCGCAGAGTCAGACACAACTGAAGTGACTTAGCATACACACACACACACACACACACACACACATATACATATATACATATGTTTGTCCTAAAAGTCCATTTGGATCTTTCCAGAAGATGTTATAGGAATTCTACTCAGCCTTAAAAAAGAATGAAATCCTGCCATTTGCAACCACATGGATAGAGGTAAGGGTATTTTGCTAAGGGAAATGAGTGAGAGGGAGAAAAACAAATACCATATTATATTAATCATATGTGGAATCTGAGGAGAAAAAAAAACCCAGCAAACAAATAAAACAAAAGCAAATTCATGGATACAGAGAATGAATTGGTGGTTACCAGAGAGGAAGGGGGTTGGGGGGTGGACAAAACAGGTGAAAGACATCAGCTTCATGGTGATGGCTAATAACTGGGTTTATAGTTGTGATCACTCTGCGATGTATACAGATGTTAAACTATAATGCTGTGTTACCAGAAACATATAATAAAAAAAGAATTTTTTCATTGGATTCCTTCAGCTACCTATATCCTTCCAGTAAGTTCTCTTTTGATTTAAGTTACCCAGAGAGTCTGTCTCTATGGCTTGCAACTCCCAAACACCTTCATAAGTGTACTTCTGAGGACAGCAGCCTTTGTTATCCCTGAGAAACGCAGCTCTCACAGTCCATGAAGGCACTAGCCTCTCTACAAAAAGACACAGAGCTGGTGCTTCATTCCCACCTTAATCAGGATGGTGAATCGCTGTTTGTCCTCAGGTGGGCTTCCCCTGGACCCTGGATATTCGATATCCAAGTCAATGCCATCAAATTCATGTTGACGAAGGAAGTCAATGACAGAACAGATGAAGATTTTTCGGTTGGCAGCTGAGGAGACCATGGCGGTGAATCTAGGCAGAGAGTTTGTCTATATTAACATCACCAATCCCTGAATCCTCCTTACACCCTTGAATATCAATTTTATTATGCATTTTATAATAACTTCTGTTGGATTTTTACAGCTAAGGTGAATTCAAACTGGTAATGGTAATTAGTAGAAAAGCTTATAATTAAAATTTTATTTTCTTCAGTATACCCAATGCATATTATTTTTCTGTTTATAGGATCAGTGGTATATGTGCATTTTACTTAGTGAGATCTTTCAGGGGCAGTGGTTTAGCCACCACAGTTCTTTCTTTGATCCTAAGATGTTTATTTTTCTACTTACTGTTTCCAAAATTAAAATGTGATTTATAAAATGTGAATACACTTAATGAAGCACTTCTGACCCCCAAAATATGAATATATTGTGAGTCTTGTATTTGAAGGTAACTTAATATCTAGAAAAATTAGTGCCTCTGCCATAGTCAGCAATTTTATAGCCTATTAACACATATTCAAACCCTCTTGGTTAGTGCCTGATTATAAAAAGCCTGTGGTAAACCCTTTGTAAACTGGATAACAACCTCCTTAATTCATCTCCTTTTTTCTTTTCTTTTTGTTTTTAGTTCTGGTATTCGATGGCTATACTTTTTTAAAATTAAAATAAATTGACTAGCACAAACTGGGTAATTTAAAAAGTGAAGGGTAGAGATATTGTCTGGAGTTTGGTGGAATTGACCTGCAAAGATTTTCTTATTTAAGTTTGTGAGCAAGATAAGAAAAAGTTCTACTGGCAGAGTGGACTTGAGGTAAAAGAAATATTGGTCAAATGCTATATGTGAGAATTAGCTTTTTACCTGATAGGTAACCGCCAGAAGTTTCACTTGGCTATTAGAGTGAGAATAAAAACACTCATTACATTTTGCTCCAACATTTTAAGCATGACTGTCTACCTCAGGAAAATTGTGGAGGGAAGAAGAGAGGGGCAAGTCACTTTTCATGTCAAATAACTTTGTGCTGTCTAATTTTAAAATAATTATGGGAAGACATTGGGCTTCCCAGGTGGTGCTAGTTGTAAAGAACCCGCCTATCAGTGCAGGAGACATGAGGTATGGGTTTGATCCCTGGGTCAGGAAGATCCCCTGGAAAAGGGCATGGCAACCCACTCCAGTATTCTTGCCTGGAGAATCCCATGGACAGAAGAGCCTGGCAGGCTGCAGTTCATAAGGTCACAAAGAGTGGAACACGACTGAAGTGACTTAGCACACACAGCACACAGGAAGACATCAACTTCATAATTCAAAAAGTCGTTCACCACTGACTTGGACAATTTTCAACATACAAGTCAAGTCTAACCTCATCTCTTTTTCATAACTCAGAGTCAAAAAGCCTGTGAGGTTACCACTCCTTTATTGCTGCTTCCCCAGAAAAGAGCCTATGACCTAGCCCAGGACTTATGCTTTTATGGGAACCCAGGTGCTTCTCCATCACCAAGCCAGTTTGTCTCACTCACCATTCTCCACCTTCTTTTGAGTGTTTTCCCATCATTTCCTCCATTCTACTGCTGTTTCTCCAGGTCTGCTGTAGTCAGCCCTTCCCACCCACAGACAGTTTCTTCTTAAGAGCTGGCCTCTTCCCCCCTAGAACATTCATTTTCACCACCCCACTGGTATCTTATTTTCCCACTCCAGCTTGAGGGTTTCTTTCTTTTGCCTCCACCCTCATTTTCTGGCCATGGAAAGACTTACTTCTGAGTGCCAAAGTTCCAGCCACCAACAGCCAGCAAAGTGACCAGATCTTTGTTGCTGCAGAAAGAAACAAGAGGCACATTTAAGTGAAAGCGCTGTGAGCTTTAGGATACATATATTGCAGAAAACAACTCTTCTATCCCCATTCTTGAGTCTCTGGGAAATGGGCAACAGTCAAGTACAAGCTCTAAAGTTCCCATGGCAAGTGTTCCTCCCATCTGCCCACATTAGTCTTTACATCATAGGTTACCACATATGCATCAGAAATCTGCAGAGGACTGCCTTTCAGAATCTTTTTTTTTTTTTTCCATNAGCAAAGGCCTATAAACACAATAGTTCTTATGATGAGGGAGATTGTTAAATAAATGATGACTGTGTCTTAAATAATCAATGCCAATTTAACCTCTTTCACCCTCCTCTGTCTGCACAGGCTTAGTTTATTGAAAGATCAAAGAATAATTTCTTAGGTGTCAGTGTGTTATTAAAACAGGATGGAAGATGAATAGATGTAGTCAGGTAGCAATGTTGTCTCCACCCGATCCCTCTGGGTCTTCCCAGTGCACCAGGCCCGAGCACTTGTCTCATGTACCCAACCTGGGCTGGTTGTCTGTTTCACCCTATATAATATACATGTTTCAATGCTGTTCTTTTGAAACATCCCACCCTCAGAATCTTATGATATTTGGAAATGAACTGGGGACAGAACTTGGACTCTCCACTCTCCCTCACTGATTCCCATTCACTTTGGATTCAACTCCTACTGACTGTTCTTTCAGGGCTTGGAACTCAGGATACAGGACATCAATATCATTCCATTCATAGGGAGCAATCTTGTTGTCATTCATGGTGGCAAAAGCGTATATCAGATGTGTGCACAGACATGGGTCCACATCCTTGGGGAAGAAGTTGGCTGGTTCTGGTCGATACTGAGACCAGTTGGTAAAGTAGCACACTAGCTTATAGGCTGAACCTGCAAGAGAAAAACAGCAGTCATTGTGGCGCAGGGCTCCACTGTCTGTGTCACTTGCTGATGAGCTCCTCAAGGGGAAGGGGTCCCTAAGAGTTCACATGGCAGACACCTGGTAGATACTGCAGTACCCTTTTCCCTTGCCTGTGGAAGACCTGGCTAAACAGTCATGACACTTTTGTCAACAGAATCCCAGCAAGGTCTAAGCATATTTCTTGACCCAGAAAGTTTGAAATCATTTCAAGTCAACACATAAAATAAATTTGCCATCATAGCAGCAAGTGGTAAGGTTAATGATGCTCCTTGCATAATTCATAATTTCAAAGATTACTCAGGCTCATTACCAATAAAACAAATATCTTTTATAGATGGCATATGATGTGACTGATATTTAAAAGCTTTATGCAAATTGGTTTGCTTAAATTTTAATTCCCATACAGCCTAATGGGGGAAACATTCTCATTTTTAGATGAGACTCGGGACTACTCAAGGCTGAAAGTTTAAGATGAATTCCAATTCATTCATCCATTTATTCCACAAATACTGATTGTGCCTACACTACTTCCGGGCAGTCTTGCTCCAAAGCTCATGCTCTTTCCAGTCTCCTGGGTCCTCATATCTGGATTTTAGTCATGTTCACACCCACAGCCAATGCCTAGTTATTAGAAATAATGTGAAGCCATTTGAGGGGGGAAAAGACAAGACAAAGAAGAGTATAAACTACAAAGATAATAAATACCTTATCAGTCTTGGCATCAGAGTATCGGTTTAAGTCCTGATTCTGAACAATCAAGGACAAATCACTTCCGCCCTCTCTGCTTTAGTTTTCCCATCTATAAAGTGAATTATTCTGGATTAGATGAGCTATAGGCCCCCTCCCCATTGCTGGCTTTCTGAGATCAAGCAAAACAGGCTGGGAGCTAGCCCAAGTCCTGACATCACGAAACAGGTCCTAGTCCTGACATCATGGAAGGAGAAGGAAATTCAGAGTCAGAAGAAAGGAGGGAAAGAGGAGCAACTATCAGGAAAACTGGAGTGTGGATAGGAGGCTGCGTTACTCCTTACCTAGCTGCACCTGCAGCAGAACAGCCAAGCCTGAAACAAAGAAAGAAGCAAAACTCAGAAACAAGGCGCCCTTAAATGGGCTTCCCAGTTAGGGCCTGGTGCTGCCCAGGGGACTTTCAGAATGTCAAGGGCCTGGGAGTTTTTGGATTCATCAGTGGTATTTCCCAGGACCCCATTTCATCATTCTCAGGCTTGGATCCCAAGTTCCTCACACAGAAGCCAAGGCATGGGGAAGTAACTCATGTAGAAGCTTCACTAAAACAGAAGCCCACCCTCCTCTGCACTCCCAGGGACACCCCATGACGTGTGGGAAGGAAGAAGAGCAGAAGAGTGGGAGACTCGCAGGCTCAGAGCAACATCCTCCCCATCGCGCCTGCACCCCGGCCACCTGGGCCGCCTCTGGGCTCGGTCTTACCTAAGACTTTTATCTCTGCGGGAAAAGCACAGCTGCCGCCTCAGAGCACAGGCGCCCAAGGCTGTCACGCCCATCCCTCCACCTCTCAGGTTCACAGGAAGGTAAGGGGGAGACAGTCCCAGGAATGTTCCCTCACCAGCCCAGGCCTGGACATTCTGACCGAATCCCTTACCACTGGAGGACTTAGCTCAGCACTGAGGCCAAGTCTATGAAAGCCCAGGGAAGGAGTGAAGGGCACGGTTCTGGAGAAAGGGTCCCAAGCCAGAAAAACACATGGGGGGTTAGCTGTGATATTGAGCTTTCATTTAAGGAATGTGATTTTCTTCCTACAGGACCAGGCCTTATCTTAAGGACAATGGCCAGCGTCCTGGAATGAACCTGATTCAGGGAAGGGGCAGGATTAGCCTCATCTTCTCCCCCTCGTCTCCTGGTGATTTTACTGCCACAGTTCTGGGGGAAGGATAGGGGCAGACAGAGGATGCTGCAGATGCCAGCTTTCCTCACATATTGGGATGGGGAGAGGGCATCAGCTGTCAGATAAACATGAACCTTGGATCTCTGCCCCCTCATCCTCATTCTGGGTGGGGTGGTGGCATCAGGGTGTAAGGAACATTTTTGATCTGATTGTTTTATAAATTGGGTTAGAGATCTCATCTGGACAAGCCGAAGCTATAAAAGGTTTGTAAATCTCAGCTCTAGAGCAACTGAAGAGCTGTGGATACAACTGGGCTCTAAACAATGTACTGAACCAACCCATTTAAATGATTGACTTTCTAACTGATATTTTTAGAATGTATCAACAGCATAGTAGGACAGTAAGGGATTAAAAAGGAATAATCCTGAAAAGAGTAGAACAAAGGTAGCTAGCATAGCTTTATCTCAGTTGCTACTGATTTTCATCTCTGAAAAAAGACCAGAAACACAAGCAGGTAAATAAAAATAATGCCAATTAAAAAGAGGTAGTGCAGGAAGATGAATAGAGAAAAGAGAACCCAACAAGAGATGGGAGAGTAAGACAAGCATTGGAAGAAAACTAGCCTTCTTTTTAGGACCATGCTTCTAGCATCAATGAAGATAGAAATGCTGCCACAGTCAATTGAGATAAGAGAATTAAAAGCAGACATATTTGTGCATGTCAGGATACCCTTGGAAATTTGAAATGATGAAAGAAGAATAGAAAAGCGTAGAGCTCTGTGTAAAGACTACTTCATGCCTATCAGATCCAGAAAGAAAAGAAATCAGGTAAGAATAAGGCTCCATCTCCAATTATAGAGGGACATCTCTGATAGCTCAGTTGATAAAGGTCCCACCTGCAATGCAGGGGATCCTGGTTCAATTTCTGGGTTGGGAAGATCTGCTGGAGAAGGGATAGGTTACCCACTCCAGTATTCTTGGGCTCCCCTTGTGGCTCAACTGGTAAAGAATTCACCTGCAGTGTGGGAGACCTGGGTTCGATCCCTGGGTTGGGAAGATCCCCTGGAGAAGGGAACAGCTACCCACTCCAGTATTCTGGCCTGGAGAATTCCATGAGCTGTATAGTCCATGGGGTCACAAAGAGTCCAACACAACTGAGTGACTCTCACTTCAGGCTTCCCTAATAGCTAAGATGGTAAAGCATCCACCTATAATGCAGGAGACACAGGTTCGATCCCTGGGTAGGGAAGATCCCCTGGAGAAGGAAATGGCAACTCACTCCATTATTCTTGCCTGGAGAATTCCATGGACAGGGAAGCCTGGTGGGCTACAGTCCATGGAGTTGCAAAGAGTTGGACACAACTGAGCAACTAACACACACACACACCAATTGCAGACTCACCTGTAAGGAGAATAAGCTTTGCCATGGTTGCTGTCAGTACTGGTCTTGCAGAGCCTGGATTTGCCTTTTATACCATCTGACTACCAGGTCATCATAAAGGATATCTTCCAAGCAGAGAGCATCTAACCCAGATGTGTATATAGCTAATCAGTAAGTCAACAGATCTCCTCTCCTACAAACACCGTTCGTGGACCTCCAACCTGCACTCCCCCACCACCTCCTCTGCTCTATAAGGACAAAACATCTCCTAACAAGGTGGCAGAGACCATCACCATGAAAAGCACCAGCTTAATAGGGTTTTTTTTTTTTTTTTTTGGCAGTTCTCAGGGCTGATAGGCATCCATTTAAACATTATGATTAGATTCTTACGCTGTGGACACTCAGTGCCTGGCATCAAAGTATGTATTTATTGAAAAGTAAACACTAAAAATCCTTGGAAGGTATTAGCTGTTCTTAAACCTTTTTTCTTCATAGAATTAGTCTTATATAACTTATGCAATCAGTGCCTAAGAAAAGCTCATCTTTAGGTGCTACTTTATGAACCTCCTGCACCTGTTCTTTGGAATGTATGTGCTCAGTTGTTCAGTCATGTCCTACCCTTTGTGACCCCATGGACTGTAGCCCCCTGTGGAATTTCCCAGGCAAGAATGCTGGAGTACTGGAGTGAATTATCATTTCCTCCTTCAGAGAGGAAACCCAAGGATTGAACCCACATCTCTGTGTCTCCTGCACTAGCAGGCAGATTCTTTATCACTGAGCAATGTGAGGCAAACTTAGTCATGATTATACAGTAATTTTATCTAAAAACATATGGTTCCCAAAATGTACCCTCTGAAGGTCAGTAAGAACTCTCTAATCCACAGTTCCAAATTATATCTTGAAAACATTTAAAAATCTTTTGTGCTGCAAACAGATAGAGATGATGGTGATGCTATTAGGGTCTCTTTCAATAGAAATATTTGCAACTTGACCACTGATGGAAATTTTTGCTTAAAATTTATTCCAGTTAAGCTTCCTAAACATTATGTACTACTATTATCCTATTAAAAATGTCTGCCTCAGCCAAAATGGTCTATTCATTGTCCCCAACAGGTTTTGGATGCCTTTGCTCACACTGTCTCCCCATACTTTGCCTGAAATGTCTTCTCCTTCTCCTCACTACCTGCCCCAGTATTACAGTTCTTCAAGGCCCAGCTCAGATCCTCTCTTGGAAGCTCAGTGATCTCTCCTTATGTCCTCTAGTACATACTGCCTCAAGTATATACTGTACTTGTTTCCATGATGCTGTCTTATGACAGTACCTGGAAGGCAGTTGGTGGACATATGAGTGCCCATCATGGGATGCCAGCAACTTAGCAGACTTACTGTTGATATAGACTGATTTTTATTTTTATCACATTTAGAAACTAAATAATTATATCCATTCACCCAGTGATGATTAGGTCCTGGCTATCTTGTTCTGACTAATAGGGCCAGAGAAAGTCTGGTAGAAGTGCTGCCAGGAAGGACTTCAGTTGTAAAAGTAGTAATATCAGCAAACACTATAAGCACCTACTATACGCCAGAGATCATTCTGGTGTTTATATAATTAAAGAATTTATTTTTTACAAATGACTAAAACCAGCTCTGAGCTTCCCAGGTGGCCCAGTGGGTTCTTTATCAAACCCACCTGCCAGTGCAGGAGATGCAGGTTTGATCCCTGGGTTGTGAAAATCCCCCGGAGAAGGAAATCCAGTATAGTTGCCTTGGAATTCCTATGGACACATGAGCCTGAAGGGCTGCAGTCCATGGGGTCACAAAAGAGTCAGACATGACTTAGCTACTAAAACAAACAACAAAAAATACAACTCTAAAAAGCACAAAAGAGCATATTGGGAGAATATGAAGAAGCTCACAGAATCAAAGATAAGAACATAGAACCTGCCCTTAATGTGACAGAAATCACATTTCTTGGGGAGCAATGTATGAGGAGAACTGAGGACCAATAAGCTCCAATTTTACTTTTCATTCATACATCAGTCCACACAAGAATCCAATTTCTGGGAGAATTAGTCTGACTGTGAAGCTTTGAGTCTGGACCAGTCCCTCACTTAGGGAAAGGACAGGGCACTTGGATTTAAATTTCCATCCGGATTGGCCACAAAATGAAATTCTAAAAGAATGGAGGGTAAATACTGAATGACTGAAAAACAATCAGAGGGCTCTACTTCATTATTTTTTCAGCCTATAAAAGGGATTATTACTGTCACTTCAACTTTGTAGATGAGAAAGTTGATCAAACAAATCTTAAGCACCAGGTCCGGGATTCAGTGCCAAGGTTGAGTCCCTGTCAAACTTGCCTTCCACCTGAGCACTTCCATGCTAAAAAGAATTACTATCATCATAAGATTTGAGAATAATAAATGTTGGCATTGTATATTTCCTCATACTGTCCAACTTTTTTCAATAAACCTGTACTATTTTTGGTCTTTCTCAATTTTATGGTACATGAGTTTAGGTATACACTTCAAAGAAAAATAATAAAATGAAACCCCTGTCCCAGCACCCAGGCTTTTTTTTTTTTTTTTTTGCTGTGCTGGGTCTTTCTTGTGGAGTGCGAGTTTGTAGTTGTGGTACAAAAGAGCTTAGTTGCCTCATGGCATGTGGAATCTTAGTTCCCTGACCAGGGATCAAACCTGCATCCCCTCCATTGAAAAACAAATTCTTTACCACTGGACCATGGGGGAACTCCGCCAAAACCCAATTTGAAGAAGATAATATTATCTTTGAATATTATCTTACAATGTTCTTCCCCAGTTAGATGCTTCTCACTTCTCTGGAGTAAGCAACTGTCCTGAAGTTTGTGCCCTCCATTTCTTTGCTTTACTTATAAGTTTATCGCATATGCATATGTATCCATAAATGATATATGAATTAGTTTATAATAATTTATTAAAATTTGTTTCTTTTTAGTTATAATATATTCATTAGCTTGTTTTTTGTATAAGTGAAATAATATAATATATATTCTTTTTCTTTTTTTCAGCCCAGTATTAAGTTTTTGAGATTCATTCAAGTTATTACAAGTAGAAACTATTTACTTACTTTCACAGCTGTATGCTATTTCATTATATGAATATGCTGTGATTTCTTTATCCTTTCTGTTTAGAAAAACATGTGTTTTTTTTTCCAGTTTCCCCCCTTACATGCTGCTGTAAGCATTCATCTCCCCAACTCCAGGTACACATTTTCAGATTTCTTGTGTGTGCACCTGGGAGTGGGATTGTTGAGTGAAATAGCACATGTATCTTAAACTTTACTACTTAGCTAAGCACTTCTTTTCCAAAGTAGTTGTATCAATTTGCTCTATCAACAGCAATTAGGGAGGCAAGTCAGACTTCATTGTTTCTTTATTGTTCCTATAAACAGAAGGAGAAACAAGAGAACTTGCTGAAGTTACACAGTAAAATGCGTAGCCATAACTCAAGCTCAGAGCTTCTGACTCCTAGTTCTGTGTTTTTATTTACTTGTTTGTTTATCATTTTGCTGAATTCAATATTTTTACTAATGCAGCCTAAAACTATTATCTCTTGCAGTATCTTTACCACAGTTTTGCTTCATATGGAGCCTGTATATGAAATGGACTCAAGTAACATCGTTCTCATGTGTACTTAGAAAATTGATTTTTTGTAACCCTATGCAAAATTTTATTAGATACAGTACTGTGTTTTGTGTCATTTGTTTATAGCCCATATCTCCTGCAAATAGGTAAGTTCCTTGGAGGCAAATGCTATTTTATTCATTTCTATATCTCTAGCACAGTTCTTGGTCTTTCAAGGTAATGATTTCAATTTAATGTAAGTGAAATACAGGAGCTGATGATTATCTATTTAATTTTGTCTCATCTATTGGACCATTGTTCCATCTTATTAATATCTTCTAGAATTACTACTGCCATACATCACATTAAGTTAACTCTTCTGCATTTTATCATCCAAAGATGAGACTACAAGTAAAGGTGAGGAGCGTTATGACACCTACTCCACTGAAAGGTGACTTCTTTGAATCAGGACAAATAATGGCCACAGAGTCCTGGAATGTTAAGAATGACTGGGTGAATCTTCTGCAAGGTGCAAGTCTCATTTGCCTGAGGCCAATAGAGGAAGATGTTCATTCACAAGGAAGAACCCCTGAAGGGCACGTCACATAGAACAGAAATTGTCATACACATCCAGAATCAACCCATCAGTGACTATTTTCCTTACTGATGGCATAAAAGCATTATAGGGAGTTGAATAAAGCCATCATTGGGGGATGAAGTACAAAGCTCAGGAAATAACTGACTAATGACTACAACATTGGTCCCACATAAGTTCCAGTGACCAGGTAGCCAGTACTATCCCACAAGGAAGAACATTTCTCCTCCATGGACTATTAGGCCTTAGGACCCAGGATCCTTCACTGACACTCAGTTAAATTGTAAGGTAGAGGTAGTAGGTGGTGTAACAAAGTAGAATATTTTACAAGACTAGTGACATTAGGAGAGACTAGAATGGCCGCTGGAACTCCCTGATTGCATTTATTGTAGATGGTAGATTTAGTATCATAAAGATTAGCAGAGGAATCCACAACCTGTGAGGGGTGCATCAAAGAACCTAAGTGATAATTGTACTGAAAGGATCCAGTGAAAGTGAAAATGCATCTCATCCAGCTGCCCTAGTTTCAGATGCTTCCTTCCCAACTAGCAAAAGATTTTCTTCTTCAGTAAGTATTTATGTTATTTTACCCATACCTACCAGACCACCTGACCTGCCTCTTGAGAAACCTGTATGCAGGTCAGGAAGCAACAGTTAGAACTGGACA